TCAGGAAGCTCTTTTTTTTTAGTTATGGAGCACCACACACAAAAATAACTGAAGAAATCCTTGTTGTTCAAATCAAACTTCTGTCAGCTCAGTGTTTACACATGAAACTGGAGCCAAATCTTTCCCCTTCTGTAGACATAAATTCTCCGTAGAAATCATGAGTGAGTTTTGTGAAATTTATACAAGTCCGGCTTTCAGGACCATGACAGAAGACAGCCGAGATTAAGGAACAAGGCCACTCATTTCTGGTTTGGTTTGGTTTGTTGTTGTTTTTTATTTCCAGCTAGTAAGACTAAACCCACATCCAGAAAAATTCTCAGAGTTAAACAGACCAAGTCCTAATTTTATTTTTTTATTCACTTTTATGCCTTTTAACTTTGGAGAGATGAAGAATTTGCAACCTCTTCCATTATAAAGATAAACCTTGACAAAAATGTTTTTAAAACAGGTTACAAAATTATAAAACAAAAATCATTTGAAAACAAAAACCAAACAGAAAATGCTGTCATTTTTCAAAATGCAAGTACTGAAGTAGGAGGACAAAACACTGAAGCACTGAAATTGACTTTAAGGAAGGGTTGTCTTGCACAAAAAACAACTCCAAACCCGTAATTATTACTGCTATAATTCTGATGATCAAAATCTACAATAATATTTCAGGTTACTTGCATGCAAGTGCTTCCTGCCTCTGCCTACCTAAACTCTGGCAGCATCACAACTGGGAGAGAGTTCACTCTTCTTTTAAAAAACAGAAAACCCATTTTCATATATAAACAATTCTTGCTACGGAAGAGCTACAAGAGATCATTTAGACCACCTAGCTCCTCAGGACGTGACTAACTATACCTGTATTATTTCTCATACCTTTATCTCCTGTTCCTTAAAATATCCAGCAATAGATCATTGAAAAGCAGGGACTCGTGCTTCATTCTGACTATACAAAAACAGTTGACAGTCAGAATTTAAAGCAGTCGTTGCCAAAGGAAAGCCCTACCCTCTTCTTATTGCAGTCTGGATACTGAAAGTGTAAGCTGTTGCAGCATAGATTTTCAACTGACTACCTGCAGACTGAAAACTAGGCTACAATCCCACTGACTTGAGTATGTCAGAATTTCATACTTAATGTACAGAATATATAAAACAAGATCACAGAGTACTACATACTGAAAAAATAAAAAGTCAAGAGTATTTTCAGCAAACTCAAATTCTCTACTGAAGTTTTCTGCAGCGGTGTGAGTCTTGCCATTACATGACCACACCTATCTGCAACTCACACCTGCCCCCAGCCTACCCTCTCTGTTGAACTTGCACTCATGGTAACAGACAGGAATAGTGTGCACTGTCTCCTTTTACAAAAGCAGAAAGCGTACATTACCAGTCATGATTACTTGGCATGACTCCAACACAATCTTCAAAATATGAGCATTTAATAGAAAATTTAAATTTAATTTTACAAAATACAGACACAACACTACCCAATGTAGCAAAACAATGGAATTGAAAAATAATTTCAAAATATTTAAAGCATTAGGTTCTAAAATAAATAATGCTATCTAAAAGAAGTGTTCAGGTTTTGTGATTAGGAGGCAGTTCCACTATTACTGATCTCTTTTTCAACTTCTTTACAAGTTCCATAATTTATGTAGAAAAATATACAAGAAAAGAATTTTGGGATAAAGAATAGGTTGGGTATGTAACATTTAACATAAATAAAAAGCCTAAAGCAAAACCAAAAAGAAAACCAATCGTTTTATTTCTGTACATCAAGACTACAAATAGTATTTTAACACTTCATTTCTTACCCAAATTAAGAAATTATACATTTTTATATGGTTACTAGTAAACATCTTAAAATCACTCAGTTTCCCCACATGTAAAAGGATATTGCTGGTTACTGCTTATTAAATATGAAATCAAACAGAGGCTTCCAGTAACAGCAAAGTATTTTTTTGCATAAGAGATGAATACAAATTTGATTGTAAATTTTGATGATTTAAAATATAAAACTAAAGTTCAGAGGGATGCTCTTATGAATCTTACAGTTTGAACTATAATTCCTTTTTTAAATTGACTGCAGTTTGCATATGAATACCCAACAATGTGCCTACTACCAGGGGATCAGTTCCTTCCATATGAAAGCAAATTTTTTCCCAGATATCAAATTATATTAAGCAGCATATTCCCACCCACTTTTCTTAGCAGAAATACTGCAGGCAGATGGATATAAAAGCTGTTTAATCACAAAAAAATAATGAATTTGACTAGTGTCTGCGGCACAGATATGGTATTTAAGATGGAAAGAAATGATAGGGAAAAGGAATGTGAACACCACAGGCTTCAAATATAAAAGATAAAGCCTGGTAACTTTGGTTCAAATAATTTTAATAGTTGTTACATGTATATTTTTCCAAAGTGATGACTTTTGTATGTACTGTGTATGCAATAGGAGTCTGATACATTGAAAAAAAAAAATCTGTACAGGCACAAAAGACAGAAACAGAACAGAGAAAACATGGATAGTCACACCCATTCACGACAGTGTTCAAGTGATAATGACGCAGCCGAAGATTGAACTTAAAATTTCTCCAAGGTATTTCAGAAAGCACAAATGGAATATTAGAAAAGTTTTATCTCAGTGCCTACCATCTTGAGGGAAGGTAGTATAAAACAAAATCAGTTCTGCAACAACTATGATTTGTAAACAATTCTACAACGTAAGTAAAGATGTTAGGTTATCAGTAACGAGCACTTCCATCCTCTCAGTTCTGGGATATCTGCAAACATCTGCTTCACTTCCATCTAAAAGATTAATTACAGGATGTTAGCCCTGTCTCATCCCAATGCGCTGCATGGTACACAACTTTATTGCCAGTTTGTGAAATTATTTATGTTTGAACAGCACAAAGCCAAAGCTTCATCTTTGGTTAATTTCACTGAGATGTCACTGTTCTTTAAATGTGCTCTTTCCTCGCATAAACACAGACAACAGCCACGCTGCACACAGCATTCATTGTTTTGAATCATAAAGCAGTGTCAATGTAGTATTATTCAATGAAAGCTAACTAAGAAACCATGTTTAAAAATGAAACCTATTTGAGGGCATTTGATAAGACACAAGAGCTGCAGAAATCTAGATAGAATTCCCTTAAAACTGCTTGGGTATGGGTGCTGCTTATAGAGTAGGCACTGGTTAGTTCCTCTGCAGATCATCCAAATAAGCATCAGTTTGACTCAGCTTAATTCAAATCCAGCAGCACATTCAATGGCATAAAGAAGCTTGCTTCGCATAAGATTTTCGTCATAAAACTCAGGAAGCTTCAACAAGTTCATGCAGGTACTGGCAGTAGGTAGTCTGTCTAAATCAGATCCTCCATTGTGAATGCAAAATGCAGGATATAACTCCTGAAAAATGCAACAGAAAAAAACATCAAAAAATACATGCAAGGCAAAACCTACCCTGTAACAGCTGGCACAGATTTCTAGAAAATAAATCATTACATTAAAACCTGTCACAATGACATACTCAAATGGCATTTTCTTTCATTCCTGGTGGTCCCAAAAGCACTCCTGAGTTGTGTAGTGCCTCCCTCTACCTTGTCCTACCAAGATCCATTAATTTGCAAAACACAAAGCAATTTATTTGGTTCTAAGGAAAAAATAATTATTTGTTATTGTTCATACACTCTACTCTGCAAATTAATGATACTACAAAAACGGTGAAACACGAAATGGAAAAAATAATACAGCAGCATGCAAGAATTTTTTTGCTGTGTTTGGGATAAACAACTGGGACTCTCAACTTCAGACTCTCCTCCTTACAAAGCCTCCCAAATGCCCATGGATACTGTTTATTCTGTAAGAACAGGAAAATGATGGCTTCCTGCTACACTGAAGTTTTCTGACAGTGAAATACATGCCGAACACGGGGAACAACAGACCACTAGCAGTAATGGAGGTAAATGGAGAAGGATGTTCTATCATGTTTGAATGACATATAGTATTTGTCATTGTATAATGACACAGCTTCTTCTGAGTTGTTTTCTTCCTTCCAAGCAGGGAAGATGTTGTTTCCATATACACAAAAATCCCAATAAAGGCAATTTCGCTCTAGCTAATGAAGTGATGTGCTATGCCAGTTACAACATTCTTCTGTTACAAGTTCAAAAGTATTCCAGTTTTACGCACAAATTCTACACGAGCATTTATTTGTCATGTTAAAGTGATGCTCTGAGGAGAGCATGAGTAAGTGACCAGACCTAAGAACAAATTTTATAAAGCTACAGTACTACATCAGTTTCTTTCTCTGACATCAAAAAAAAATCCCAAACAAATAAAAAAACTATGATCAAACATACCCTTTCAGTGTTTTCCTTCTAGAGCTTTAGTTTGTTAGCATACCCCAGATATACAAAATAAGTTCAAGTGGATGAGTATCAAGCCATCATTTTCCTTCTACTCACCACCATATACGATCGTATATTTCATATATTCTTTAATATCATCTGATACAATGTTAAAGGCATTTCTTGCCCTAAAGGGATTTCTGTCTAAATTAATCTTTCAGCAAGCCTACAATTCATGAATTTCAAGACGAACAGTACTAATGACTTCAGTGGATCTGTTCACATGTAAGATTAAGCAAGTATTTACACTACCATGGTCTAGAACTCTGAATCAAGAGGTAATTTATATTCTCCAAATAAAAATCTAATTTTATTTAAAACAATTATACTTTGTATTTCTTCACAGAGTGATTATAAAGTCACTCAGCTGTTACTGGGATGATATTGATGTGCATAGTGAGTCTGTAATGATATAAACTTGTTAAACCCTGATTATTCCTCTGATGTGATAGCTATTGATCTGAGGAACAGACTTTTAAGACATTTTGTATGTAATATTTAATTGTTTTAATAATATCTGATTTTTTCTTCTTCTGAGAAAGGGTATAGTGAAAAATATATTTATTTGTTACCTCTAAAGCACTGCTTTTGCTGGCAAGAAAGTATTCATTTTATCAAATGCTTGCCTGAGGTAAAGCAGTTCTGATTTTAGAAACTGGAAAAAAATCCCAGCTCCAAAGGCAAAAGGTCAATGAGATTCTAAGCTAAATTATTGTTCAAATGGAGGCCTTAAAAGTATTTCATGGCTAAAATGCTGCATTTTTAGTGTTCCTTTCAAAATGCTAATTGAATTCCCCTACTTTAGCTTTAAAAATGGAAAAATGAAGTTCTAAATTGAAATGTCATGCCAAGGGCACCATTTGTTGCATAATTAAATACTGTACAGCAGGAAACTGCAATAGTTTGGAAGTGAAAAGTATCATCAATTTATTATGTGACCTGATTGGAACTTAACAATTTTCAACCACGCTTTAATGATTTTTTTTTTTTTGTCCGTAACAATCACATTTATTAAACTTATTAAACTTTAATTAGCTTTAGTAAATGTTATTCTGAGTCTGAATCTGGCAGTGAGAGTTTAAGATTTTTAAATGATGCAAAGTTAGACTGTGCTATCGATAAGCTACGAGTGTCAAGACATTTCCTTATCTTAAATTAACAGGCACCAACTTTAAGGAAATGTGAAGGTTCCACAATATAAAGTGTACAGAACATTGCAGAGCGAGAAACAGAAAATGTGTTCCCCTCAGCAAAATACAGTACACATATTAAAACTGTAAATAGATTTTGAAGATACCTTGTGTGAATGTCTACCATCAACATAAATATATTCAGACAGTTATTTGGCCAATAATATTCAGCACTCCTGCAGATTCACACGCTTCGCCTTCAAAGCTCTAAACACCACACTGTCACAGGCTACCAAGACATTACTGCCGATGACAATACCAGTTACCTACTTCCTTTTTTGGCAAAACCCTGGTTTGTTGGTAAATCCATGTTAACAAGATGCTACTGCAAGCACCATCCAAGTATTGACTGAACTCCCGCTCAGTGCTGCCCAGCAAAGCAGCAGTAATGCCTTCTCACTCTGCTTTCTGTTGCCAAGACTGTTACATGTGGCTGAGCTCGCAAGTCCATTGTACAGTGAATTAATCTTTTAACTTACTGCTATCATGCTGAAAATTTGATGACTATTTAACTTCCATTTTTTCCAAGCCAAGTATTTTAAAGTCAGGTTGGGGCCTATCTCCCAAGTACACACACAGACTTCAGCTTTCCACATTTGGCTTCTTTTTTAATGTGTCATGGTCAGCCTTAGTATTTTTAGACTTTTGATTCACTTCCTCCATCTCTTCAAATGTCACGCTGGCCACCTCAAAGCTGGGTAGCTACATCTGCATTTCTTCCTCTCCCCTTGTAATTAAAAAGGATGACAACAAATGGAGACTTCTGTTTACTTTGTTTCCATACAATTGTTTCCCAATTCTCCCTTTATTACATGACTGATGCGCACTGTTCTAGCTTGGTCTCACCCCACAGTTTTCTAATTGTCCTTCCCACTGTCCTATAAAATCCTGCTTGTTGCTAAGAGTATGGTACAGTGATACTCACATGGACTTGGAGAGTTCAAGAGAAATGCTTGCAGGCTTTTAAATAATCGATCACACAAATCAATCAATGAATACCCTAGGTAGGATTCATGTGTTTAAACAGCCATCTCCATTGTCTCCATATCCAAATCTAGTCACACCAGACACTCTTTTCTGTTGAAGGGGATCTAGTAAGTACGTTTTGTGGAGCCTAAGACATGATTCATTTCATCCTGAAGTAGACACGTGGAGCAGACAAATTATCGACTGAAAGTGCCAATTCCTCTCCTAGGTGCCTATAAAAGGAGTGTAACTGAGCTATATGTTATAGATATTGAAGATACGTTGCCTATCCACCAGCTAACAGCACCACACAGCACTTGCTACAGCAGCTGAAGGGACTGTGCAGAGGCTAAGACTGCACAGAGGGTTACAGAACAACTGTACCAAAGGGAGGTTTAAATGATCACACGCTGCAATGGCAGTGCCGCATACCCATATCAGCTTACAAAGAAATAGGAAAATAAAAGGATTGAAGAGGGAAGAGAACGTGAAGTTGCAGTATAACGGGATAGGTGGAAGTCAAGGGAAAAGGGCCGTGCTTCCCTGCAGAATGTGGCACTAGAAACAACTCTTCCACTCCAAAATCGCTCTGCAGCCTGGAAAAAAACCACCGTTTAAACTACTGGGAGCATTCTTTCATCACCCCTAGCAAGTGATCCACATACTACTGTATCACAACCCATGTATGCTTTTAGGTATTTTAAATCATTCAAGTGTCAGAGGTCTGTGTCTGAGACCACTGTGATTTCAATACTGGAGTGTCTTCTTGTTTGTTTTGCAGAGGAAAACTGTATTTTTGAAAAAATTAATCGGAAGTTTGAAAATTCTAGAATTAATTTTGTTTAATTTAATATGAAAAAAACAGTGATAAGTACTACAAAAATCTAAGCTGTGTGCATGGAAGAGGAAGGTGGGGGTTTTTGTTTCATTTTTTACTTCTGACATCTTTATCATGTGTCACCCCCAGGCCACATCACAAGAAAGGGCCCAATTCCTAGAGCTGAGAAGAAATTCCTCTAGCATTTGCCTTTCAAGTATTTTTTAAATGCTGATAAAAAAACCCAAACAAAAACCCCCCAAAAACCCCACCAGAATGAACTTCCACAGTAAGATTCAAGAAAAACTTGTGCAAAATTCCAAGTGTGTTGTTTCCACCTCCAGACTATTAAGTGTATCTGAATTCCTTGTTCCTATATAAAATGTTAGTATCTGTCCCTGAAGTATTTTTATAATGAGAAAATGTTCATTCAACACCACTTATTTTACAGAACAGCTAATAAACCTTCAGGACTTACACAATACCTGCATTCATTTCTTATGGGTGCATCTACCTGTTTTACCTAATAAATGTAGGAAATTAGTTACTATCTACTGTTAATTAAATATTGTACCACAGTACCTTATAATGTGAGAATTTATTAAGTACACGTACTCAAATTTTGTTTGGCAACAAATCTTATTCTTACTTGTAAGGAACTGGATGACGCAATGCCTCTATTTGTTCCACATAAGCCCACCGTTGTATTAATTTTACTAAATAGTACAACAGTAAATATAATGTTGACCACTGCACTAAAGGTGATGGTGTTGCTGTGAAGCAATTTATTCTTTTATTTTCTTACAGAAAAGCATTGAAAGTTCCCACATTTTAGAGGCAATTAAGTCCATGGCCAGTTCTTAGTCAGAATTTTGCAGCCCAGCTGAAACTCATGGGTAGAATATCCTCAGAATTTAGTTTCAAAATGTTTTCAATTTACCTCAGCCTCTCTTTAGTTTTATAAGCAGTAGACAAAAGTTTTCTTCATACTTAAGCTTCACTGTCAATAGCAATCTAAAAACAGCAGCAAAATATTTAGATACAAAGGGTAATGACCTGTGACCCTATAAGCAGATAAATGGTAATTAGAAGGTAACACAATGCATCTCCCACTTCAAATGGTTAATTTAAGAGGTTCAAATTTAATAGCTGCTTTTATATCCCAAATCCTCTTTCGCCTGATTTAAAAGACATTATTCTTAACTCTACCTTGAAACTGGTAGCAATACTGCTTGGGTTCAGTAACATGAAATGGTAGCAAGGATCTTCCATGAGAAAGAGTAAGCGCTCTAACCAATGTGTTTGTAGGCTTATCAGATTTTGCAGTTAAAATAGAAAACAAGAGAACAACATTTCATTAAATATTTTAAAACTATACTCATTATACACACAAATGCAAACATCAAAACTGTTTCTGTAGTCACAGAGGAACATTCTTCTCAAATTGTAAAGTCCTACAGACAAGAAAAGCTTGTATCATAACCTGTAATATTTACAGAAACTTGCCAGGAAGTCAGGAAGATATATACCTTAAACCCCAGAAGAGGCGGTCGAGAGCAGCTTGTTACAAACTTGAGTAGTTTGCGTTTCTCTTCATCAGTGAAGCTTTCTACAACTCTCCAGAATATTTTAATTACAGGATGGTCTGCTGTGTAACCACCTATAATGAGATTTAAATGATTTATAGGTAGAATAGTTTTATGTAAGAAATAAATTCTTCAGAAAACCTAGTATCAATCTTGAAAAGCTTGGGGAAAATATAACCAGCAGGCTTATGCTGCTGACTTCCAGTATCTATAGATCTCTTTGATCACTGCATTTTCAGTTTCTCATTCATTGCTTACCTATGGCTACTATCTCCCTCAGCTTCTTAACTGCAGTTTTCTTCACCTAATCCTATTTATTTTAAATTAATTATATTTAGTTTAGCATTTACCTAGTAACTTTGGATTACTACCTTTACGCCAAGAGTCTGCAAAATCTGCAAGACTCAGGATGTTATTTAATGCATCAACTTACCTTGAGATAAGTTCGGATGTGAACTGATGATATAGTAGCTACTTTTTGATTACATTCATGATAAATGCAGGGAAAAATGAAGCAAGATACCTTACATTCCTCACAAGGAAAAAATACAAGCTCTCTCTTCAGGCCATCTGAGAAATGGTTAAGTACCTGAATGAGGTGGTAGAAACAACTATCCCAAAGTCATTTGCAGACTTATTTTCAGGGCAACCAGACATAAACATTGACTAACACCCATTTAGAAAAGGAATTACATGTTCTCTAATTATCCAGCTATAAACTTGTACTTAAGTGTGTGAATAAAATAAACTGTATACCTATATTTCCCAGCATTTATAAAATTAGGTTGCAATTTTACCCAATCTTCCAAAATTCAGGCCTGTCTAGAGAGTTTGGCCAAAGTTAACAACCAAAGTTAACAAGAATGACCCTACAACTTTGTTCTAAAAGCTACGATAAAAAGCAAGTTTATTTACTTCTGAGTCAGTCATAACACATTTTTTTGTTTAAGTAAAATATGCTTACCTGAATAGTTTGTGAAAGATTTAAGGTCATCCAAACTAATAGGAACCTGGGCACCAGAAATCAGAACCTAATAGTGAAGGAAATTAGACAGTTACATTACAGGGAGAAATTAGCATTTATTTCTGTTTAAAGCAATTGTTTTCTGCAGTTTTAAGCAGAAATACCTGTATTTCCTGTTGATCAAACATTCGAAGCCATTCAAGATTCACAACATTGGCCAGTCCCTGACGGAAGGCAAGGCAATGCTGTCGAATTTGTTTGTTTAACCTGTAGTCTGCCACCAGATGGATGTATGCGATTCGGTTAGCGCTGGTAACAGGAATATCTTTTCCACCTGGCTTCAGCTCAACCACCTATAAACATAACAATTTTCATCACCTTGGTAAACTTTAATTGTGTGCTGTAACCATAAAATTGAACTGCAAAACATTCTAGTAAGTGAGGTATATATTTGAAGTTTACTAGAATATAGTGAAGAATATTCACCTCAAAATAAGATAAAATATTATGACAAGTTATAAAGGTAGGGTTTTTTCTGTTTACCCATAAAAGCACACTCTAGACATCCAGTTTTTAGACCTAGACCTCCAGCTGCTAATGCAGCTGACCGCATGCCCCTGTGGTTTATTACCAGAAAGCAGATTCAGCAAAGTCAGAGTTCTTTTATAGGAGACAGCATGTAATACTAAATTCACCACTGCAAGTCAGACAGAAACTGAGGTGAAAATCTTCCCCTTGGCAAGCTCGCCCCTAGCTTCACTGATGCTATTAAATGCCCTGGAGGAGAGAGTAGCCTGTATAAGCACCACGCTCACACAGAGCGCGCTCCTTCCAGTTGGATCAGAAAAGCTGGGCTTGACTGGCTAGGCTCTTCTTTAACTGGTGATGGTGAATTCTGCAGGATCAACATTAGGGTAAAAGCAATGTCTGCTGAGTCAAAATTAAGATTCTGATACAAGCCTAATTTACAGAATGATAAGCATTCACAATTCTTACTGTTGAAAATCCAAGTTATACATGCTCAGTACTTTCAACAAAAGTAAAAAAAAAAAAAAAAAACAGACAAACAAAAAAATCAAGCCTAAACCTTGTTTTTCTACTGAGAAGCTTAACTTTTGTCCTTCGAGTACACCAAGATACCTCATCATGGAAGAATTTGTAATGAAAAACCCCAAAACCAAAGATACTGTAATTGCATTAATATATAAACTAGGATCAAAGGTAGTTGTTATTAAAACACTAAAGACCTTTACATTTTCTACTGCATGAGGTTAATTTTGATGAGTAGCAGCCCAATTGGAAGGGATTATTAGAGTACTAAGAAGACGATTAAAAAACCTGAGAAGCTGAGATAATGACACCTTCTGAACCATTCCAAAAAACGTTTGCTTTTCTACAGTGGAGTCAGCAATTTTTATTTTATTTTTTTTTAAACAACTGTGCATTTCAGTCTGTGGTAACGACCACATCTTTAAAGCACAGAGAATTAAACACGTGAATAGCTTCTTTTGTAACATGCTACCTAATATGTGAACTGTTCTAGTACTAAGCAAAATACAAGATGGTAAGATTAAAAATTCACAGTGCTTTTGAGCATTCTGATTTTTACTTGATTCATAGCTTTTTAAGGCCAAAAGAGAACATTAAGATTGGTGAATCTGACCTCCCAGATAACACAGGCCAGTGGATTCTGTCTAGAGATTCCTGTATTTAACTCAATAAATCCATAGATGAGTTAGAGCACATTTTTTAGAGAGACAGGCAATCCTGGCGTAAAGACTCCATGTGATGAAGTATTCCTTGATAAGCTACAACAACCTGAATTACAACAGGTGTTAAAAATATGTCTTACTTCCCACTTTAATCCTTCAGCTGCAAGCTTCTTGCTTTTGTTACGCCTACAGTAACAAAAACTCATCAATCCTCCACCATGTCTGTGTGCCGGTAGTACTGACTGCCAGTAGTACCAGGTAGTACCTGGTGCCACTGACTGGCCCAAGGGTGAGGATATTTTTACTGATGAAGTCCACAAGGAGCATTAATAGAGTATGGACGTGATCCATACCACAGTGGAAACACCTGACGAGAAGGGGCCCCTGCGCTGCTAAGCTTTCTCCTCTGCTACTGCAGGCAACAATGCGGTCTAGGAATGTACTGTTTCATCCCCCTATAGTAGTTTTACTATTGTTACTGGAAAGTTAGTCAATAATTGGATTCATCTAATGATTAGAAACATTCTAATTTCCACTTCAAGTCTAATGGGTAAAGTTTGTTCATACCCATTGCTCTTATTTCAATATTGTCCGATAGCTTAACCAGCTCTTTCTTTCCTCCTCAATGATATCCATGATGTATTACTTACGGCCAGCAACCTTATTAATCTTCCCAGAGACTTTTTCACTGAACTAAAATAAGTTCCTTTAATTTCCTCCTATAAAATACCCTTTTACAAAACCTAACAAGATCAGAAAGCTTTCTCTTACTTATTATTTAAATTCCTGTCCTCTTCGGTGTTACAGGATCAGAGCTACCAATGATGTTCCACATGAACAGATCGCTGCTGAAACCTCAACACTATTAATACTTTGCTATCTGCTCACTTACAAATTTTCTTTGAACTGCATAATTACTTGTTCTTTTGTCACTACTTCACCAAATACAATTCCTCTCTTTGAGGCACGGACACACTGAATTTGGCCATATTAAAGCATATTTATATCACCTAACTCATCGAGCTTCTCTTAAGAATACAGACACCAACAATCAACTAACTAATAGGTATTACTCCATTTGTGTACAATAATTTCTGTGAGCTCAGTATTTACACAAAAAGATGCTTGAACTGACTTCCTAAAATAGCAAAAGGGAACTACTGGCAGGGTGTTCTAGAAAACCGCTGTGTTTTAAGATTCATCCCAGCACTGGGTCAAGTAAAACGTCTAACTTTCCCTGCAGGTCAGCAAACAAAGATCAGGACATAGATTAATTTATGCTTATGTTTGCATTATAATAGTACTGTCTCCACAGTGGTTTAAAGATGTCGGGAAAGCTGTATTCATTGTATAATAAAAGCTATTCTCTCTCCCTATAATTTTTTTCTCTGATTTGCAGGAAGAATGTGTTGTACTCTTCTTGACCACTGCTTTTAGAAAATAGGAAAAAATGTTTTTTTAAATCCTATTGTTCCTTTTATTTTTATGTTTTTAAGTAGCAAACCTTGATTTCTGATCCAGCAACACTTCTGTAGGCCTCCTTCCTCCCCACAACCCTGCATTGCCACAAGTAAGACTACAGCATTCAGTTAACCCAATTTCCTGGGGTTTTCCAGTGATCTAACTATCCATTTTCAGAGTTTATCAATGTGAGATCACCATTTTGTCAAAGTATCATCACAGTCTGAAACAAAAGGGCTAATGTAGCCGGAATAATAAATATATTATGCCATAAAGGCTAAGATGGATGTAAAACAGAAGACAGAAAACAGTAACACTTGGTAGCAGTAAAACTATAGTAAATGTCAATGGAGTTCACTTTTTACTCATTCAGTGTTTTCATGGCGTTTTAAAGTAACTATTGTACAACTCCCACTTAATTCTAAATGTCAGGAATAATTGTTGGAAGAGTTCCTTTTCAAAAAGGCCACAACACAATTTATTACATCTTAAAAGATTTATCAGATTGCACTTTTATTTTTATCCATCCAATTTTTGCCACTAGATGGTGCAAGATAACAACACAGGTTACACAGGATGGGCAAGAACAGAAAGTTACCCAAAACGTGCAGACTTGTGCCATCACCTTATTTTCTATTTTGTAGATCTAAGTTTAAACAAACGAAAAAATAATTTTAACTTGGTTCATTATCAAAATCACATATTTTAAAAGAAATCAAATCATACATATTATTTATGTAAGTATTCAGATCATTCAGACAATACCATAGAAAACTGAATTTGATTCCACACTCACAGAATATGTCTTCAAAATGAAGGGGAAATACCAAAATGGGATCAAAAAGTCTCATGTTTTTAAAAATCTGCAAGAAAAGGTGCTTTGCATTTTTTAGTACTGTGGACAGAAGTATTGCATTAGGCCTCTGACTGAAGGTTAAGTACACTCGGAACCACAGTTGCATGCACTTCGGGTCTTCTTGGCTATAAATTCAATTATATGTTTCTGCAGGTACATACTAAAAAAAAATGTGATCAACTTAAATTTATATTCTCATTTAAGAAAACCACAACAGTTTGTAAAAAAAAAAATAAATAAAAATTTACATCTATTTTATATATGGTTGCAGTTCAAGTGAACAGTTCAAACAATCATTTTGAGTTATTATATCTACTATTTTGAACATTAGCATAATAATGAAATAAATACACACTAAAAATCAGCAAAACAGTGAATAACATAGTATTTGTCAAGCAGAATTCAGGAGACTTCTCTTCTGGCTTACTGATAATCATCAGTCACACAAAGTCTATCTGTAAAGTGATTACAGCAATGTGAAAACAGCAAGTGCCTGTTGGTAGACAAACTTAATGCTAGCTGCTGCTCACACAGATCTGGCAGTAGCAGCTCCTTCCCAAGTTAATGGAAAAAAAGGTAATATTTAGAGGGTAAAGTGGGAAATACTTTAGGAAAGAATAAGGGACCTGTCATCTAGGTATTCTTTTTTTGTGTATGAAGATTTAAGACATATATCTCCAGTGCAATTTCAAAAAGCACTTTTATAGATAGTCAAGAACTCTTACAAACTGGTTTTAGGACAGATGAAAATATTCCATCTTTTCTCCTGAACTCTGATCACTTCTGTTCACATCACCCCTGAAGTTTTTCCCCATTCTGAAAGTAAGTCGATAAAGGTTTTCTTTCTTTCCCTGTCATCTGCCTTCCAGATGTTCAGGCAGGAGTTCCAGGTAGAAGATTGCATTTGAATGCCTAAGAATGCATTTGCCGTAAGTGTTATAAATCTGCCTGAGAATGATCAGCCTCAAATTAAAAATTTTGCTTCTGAAAAACCTCCAAAATAATTCAGGTAAGCCACTGTATCCTAGTAAAGAAGCTGCCAAGACAGGAACTTTCAGAACTATTTTTAAGGCTTCAAAATTTTCTCTCAGGGAAATTTCAAGGCAAAGAACTCTCCTTTAGTGAGTCAACGTATTTTCAGTAACAGCAATGGCATTCACATCTGTTTAAAAAGCCAAAGAAGGTGTACTATACCAATTTCACAGAAACTGCTGCCATATATATCATAGTGCTTTTCTGTGGATTTGTGCTTCTACACTTGATTTATGGAGCCTTCTGACTGTGGAGTCTTCTGATCATATTAAACTTTTCCAATCCATGTAATCACAAGACTCAATGTTTGAGAAGACTTGCTAGAGTACAGAATCTAACATTTTTGAAGGAAGAGGAGTACATATTTCAATCTTCCTCTCTTCCCTTGCACAGCCACACAACTCACCTTCCTCATTGAGAGAGAGGGGGCACGGGGGAGGGAGGTCTGAAAAGAGGAGGTATTTTCTGAATTTGTTAACCTTACACATATTATTAGCATTTTATAACCATTTTATCACCATCTAATCTACAAGATAAAAGGAAAAGTAAAATCAATATACACAGCTACTTGAAGGCACCTGTAACTATAGGCTAACATTCTTCTGAGACTTTTTATTGGCCACCATTTTATGCAGCAGATCCAACAGTTGAAATGTAGGCTGGTAGCACTGCATTAGATAATTCTTTATCAAAAGCTAAAGCTATTTGGGGTTGGAAGATAAGGTTGATGGCACAGCTCCCCTAATTAGCAGGTCTAATGTGCAAATTATTAAGTACCTTTTTCAACTTCTGGTGAATGCACTTTGACAATAGTTTAATGGGATCTAAAAGCACATTACAGGATTGGAATCAATACGCTGATAATAGAATTTCTACCTTCTGCTACTGACAGAGGCAATAGAGCCCCTTTTGAATGTGTCTTTCATTGCAGATAATGCTTTTGTGCCACAATTGCTGGATGGACACTGTCATGAGGATAGCTATTTACAATGATAGATTTATGATGCATTTATTGGGCACTAATTTATTAGACACTAAAGTGGTTGTTTAGCTGAAAACTACAGATAATGTACATTCAACATAAGGAGTGCAAATTAAGCTCTTTTCCCAAAGTGAATTAGCCTTACCTTGACACAATTAATTAGTATGCAATGGTTACATGAGTCCAATACCAGACAAAATGTATTTATCCATATGAGGTTTATTAAGGTAATGAAATGAAATATAAAAAGTAACTTGTTGCATTAAAACACAGAAGACAGTGACAAGAACCAATTAGTTCTGCTGAACTACACTAACATGCAGTCTCATTAAAATATGGTTAATACTTTACAGATAGTGTTCTCTCCAAGTATAAACAAAGCAAAACAGCATCAGAATATTTAATTTAACTTACATTTCATTTAGTTACTCAGAAACTGACTATTATATTTGATCTTCCTTTTGAAGTTATGCAGAGCAATTAAAAATCAAAAGTCTTGATAATACTAGCCATAGCCCTTAGAGAATTTTAACAAACAAATTAGGCTTCTTGGCAAGAATGCACTTTTCACAAGCTTTTGTTGCAGCAGGTAGAGCTGGCAACATCTCTAACTTGGATATCCTTTTGTGTTATTTCTAAGCTATTTCGCTTTTCTATGTCCTTCTACCTTACTTGTTGAGGCAGGTTCTAACTTGTGTGGCTAATTTTTAAGGACATACACAGTAGATGTGTAAAGTATGGAAACCAAAACCTCTCCAGAAAATAGTAGCTCCTTTTTGTTTTTAATTAGAGACTAAACAGGATTTGTATTAGGTGCAATCAACAAAACTATTACTTTAAGTGCATTTAAATGAATGGCTTTGGAATACAAACAACAAACTTTTTTTTTTTCTCCCTAGAAAATCCTAGGTTGTATTGGAAACTGCCATCTTGTGTGCTCTGTAACCTACTAACCAAACACATGGATCCTACAGAACTCAATTCAGTATCAGTCACTTACAGCACATGGTACAACAGAGCAGGTGCTCTACTGTACAGTATTGTACGATACAGTAGGCGCTCTAAGAACATGCTTTTTTGATACATCTGTATCACATGCCTATATTTAAAGTTTTTGAGTGTTTTTCTGAAGACAGTTTAGGTCAGAAGTTTTCATATAGGGAGTGTAACCCAGGGGAAAAAAATGACACATGGCATATGTTTAACATGAAACATTACTTATATCAGGCAATTGTTGACTCTCTCTTTCAGCATGACTCAGGAACCCCAAATCTGAGAATACTATTTTAAAATTGTAATACAATCCAGGTTTTGGGATCTTCCAGAATGACAGGAAATGGATGACAGAATAGTAAAGATAAAGTCCGAGCCTGATGCTGTTAAAGACAAAGTCTTGGACACCAAACTTGCTATGATTTAAGCAGCAGTAGAGAACTCAACATAACAGTTTCGAGGACTAGCTGCTGCATCTCAGTGGTGCTGCTGCCTCTGTGAGATGTAGATGTGCACAGTCCCAGGCTTCTCTGACCAACACGCAAACCCAAGAGAACTGCTTACTCCCTTTTATAGTCTGTTTCTTCCACAAGGAACAAGGCTGAATTCAGATGCTGCTGCATGTCACAATGCGGTCAAGTCTACTTTTTTGATGCAATTATTAATTAAATACCATAATCAAGTATAAGTAGACCATAAGTAGTACACAATTTTAAATCCTCAAAAAATGAGAGAGGAAGCAATACAAAAGACTTTAACTAAGGGAAGTTAACTGTATCAGCACATAAAGGCACACTTTTCAAGCTCTTGTGACATTTATTTTCTACTATGAGCATAAGTGATCTTTAGTACTGACAACAGAGCAAATAAAAGCCATAATCAAATTATACAGTACAATTGCATTAAAAACTTATACTTAAGGACCTAGCTAACTGCTTTTTAGAAGCACTGAACACCCATTTCTCCCCTCTGACTCACCTGGTGTCTCAGCCCCTCAAAAAAAAAAAAAAAAAAAAAAAATTAAGGTCTAACTTCAGGCCCTCTACTTTGAAAGTTACAGCTAAAGGAGACAATGTTTATTGCACAATAAAGCATCATTACTATTTAAAACCATTCTGATTCGTAACTCTGATTCCAAAACCAGGCAGTACTTCTATATTTTACGTATCATCTAACTTCTGCAATTATTTGAAGTGCAATCAAAGAAACAATGTAAAATATTTTATTCAAGAAATTATCTTGGGCAATAGAACTTTTCATGTATGACTGTTAGAAAATAATCACTGTAGTTTAGTACTTAAAAGACCAGACCTATAAGTCATCATCAAAAGTTATTTTTTTAAGTACACAATTAGTTATTGTCTACTCCAAATATTAACTCAGAAACCCTATGATGCCTCACAACACACAGCACCTTTAACAGTTGTTTCCTATCACTTTTAAATTAAAAAATGAGTTAGTAGGGGTAATAATGATTCATCAGTCATACATAAAAGAAAAAAAAAGCGGAAACCATTCTTACCTGTGCTTCCCCAAGGTCATTATTTACCACAGTGAAGTTTAGTCCAAGTTCTTCCACATCCCCTTCATAGCTCTTGAGAAAAAGCAAGTTTTTGTACATTTCTGGATCTAATGAAGCTAAATGATGAATGTCAACATCAGCACTTGTCCCCAGTAATTTTGAGAGGAAAAAACTAGCAAATGGCAGCTCCACCAGCATATTTTCATAAAGAGCCTGAAAAACAAAGCAGTTAAAAGCACATTAGATTTTATTGTTGTACCTGCAGGAATTCTGAACACTATTGTCTATTTCTCAACTTTTTGGTAATTCCTTCTTAATTTGGTGCTTAAATACGATCTTCTGGTGTGGCAATAGCCCAGCTACTGCATGAATTTAAAAATATTCATCCAAAGTTTGAAATTTGAATATCCTTGTGAAATACCAAGCTCCCAAATTTTACAAATTAATTATGTGGTGATTTAAAATATAAGGTCACTGCTTATCTGTCATTAATCTTCTTGTCCGAAGTATGATAGCAAACAGGAAGTGTATCAATTGCGTAGATTAGCAAGAAGAGCAAGGTTTGCCAAAGGACAATGCAACTGCATCAAGAACATCTTCCAAAAAAAGTTTGCATCTCTACCTCCATTAGCATTGTCACAAGCAATATTTTTCCATTCATGTCAATTGCTACATGTAAAATAGTCTGCCCCTTAAAAATAGCTATGTAAACCCAGTACATTTTAAACTAATCCAAAGAAACTGGTTCTCTTGCATGTTATACAGATTCACTGCTGCATATTTTTGGTGAATTCTACAGCTTAATGGCATCATCAAACCATCCTAATTTCCAAGCCAAGAGCTTACCACTTATGACTGGTATGGACATGTGTATCATGTCCAATCCTTCCTATGCCTGACACTGTTAAACCTGTCAAAAGATTACTGAACCAAAAATGAACCTGACCTGAATATGCAGCACTCCTGAAAAACATATATTTACTGTAAACTGAGAGTTTCCTCAAGAATTACAAAAATGCACAAACTCCAGCAATACCACTCTCAGTTGACCTACTGCATGACCACATTTCAATGTAAGGCAAAGCAACTTTGTATATTTTTCATATAATAAGAACTTCTTGTTGATTGGAAGAAAAAAAGTACTTATGGTAGCTCTCAAAAGGAGAGATGGAAATTTAAGAGCTAAAAAGAGAAAGTATGACATCATTTAAAGAAAGCTTACATGAATAAAGGAAAAATAAAAGACCGTTGCCTTTAGGAAAACATTCCTGAAACATGCTGTCTGTGCACAGCCTTTCCTATTATCCAGTTTGTTTGCCCCATCAGCATCTCTAACAATGACAAGCAAATCTTTATAGTATCATTAATATCACTGCCAGGCTGATCAGAAAAGGCATCATCAACATAACATCGTTTGTTCTCTTTTTACTCTTCAAGTGCAGTGTTTTGGCATTACTGAATTCCTCCATAATCTGCTGCAAACTTAGAAAAGGAAGCACAATGAGCAAAAAAAGGAAGAAAGAATAATAAATGTAGCTGTAACCACTCAACGGTGTTCCAACAAAGATGTTAAGAAAAATATACACAATTCCTTAAACTTCTGAAAGAACATTTCTACGAGGTGAGTTAGACCTTGCAGAAAGAATTGAGAATAACGAGTTCAAAGCCAAAGGGTGCATTATATTTAGAGCTGTATGATTTATTCAAGGTGTAGAAGTCAAAATCCTCATTTGTATAGTTGACTTTAAAAGCAAACTAGAGGGATAAATCATTAATTTGCAATGTATAAGGTCAGTGTTTGCTGTTCCTGCATTAGTAACAATAAAGCCATTGTAATTCCTTAAATATATCAAAGCTACCCGAATTTAAAATGGAATTCCATCTATGACTCATAAAATGTAAATGCAGAGGTGTAATTTTTTACACAAGGCAGGTTTAAGCCTTTAGAGCATTTAATATACAAGGACTAATAAATGATAGCACTAAAAACTATGATCACATCAGCTAAATGGATTATAAATTAAATTTCCATAATGTATGCAACTGAAATACAAATGTAGACATAAATCAAGGTATTTTCTAAACACAGGTTAATTACACAAATTCAAAACCTGTCTATTTTTTATGCAAAATAATCCACTTAGCATTTTTCAAACTGGTCTTAAGTCTTAGCCACTTGCAACACTTGATCCTAGAAGCCTATCAATAATTCCTTGTCAGGAAAAAACAGCAATAGGTATATTGAAGAAACTTGTATGTTATTTTTCAAGTGTCTGTCTTTTATGAGTGTTTATTGCTAGAAATTGTGCCAAAATGATTTGAAATAAAAAGGATTAATTATAGTAGAAGCTTTTTAATATAAGTGAGTGCAGCTGCAATGCAATTAATGCAAATTGTGACGCTATCAGGAAAATAAATGTGAACAACATCACTGGCTATTTCTGTTTGCTGCCAAATAACTTCAGTAATTTACTACATTAAGAATCAATAAAAAAATAATGCATTTCAAATGCATCACTATTAATCTTCAGGTAGTTCCAAAGTGAACATTTATAACTTCATCTAAAAACTATATAATGCATTTGTAAATAAACTGTGCAACTTCAGAATAACTTTAATTACTCCTTCTTCTCTTAGCTAAGTGATTGCAATATTAAAACCAAAGTATTTTTGGAAACAAGACGAACAGTAGCGTTTTAATTAGTTTGAAAGTCAAGCTATCCTAATAAAGTGTAAGAAAAAAATGCACTAAAACTGTGGAAATAAAATCATGATAAACTTTGGTTTTGTTTCAAAGAGGTAAATTACACCATTACAGCTTCAGTATTGTACAGAGACGCTGAGAAATGCTGCGTACGACTGAACAGGACTAAATAAACTGAAACTTTATTTTTCGGTTTCCACCTAACTTCCCTGTTTCTCAGTCAGCATAAACTGATCAAACTACCTGTTGCTGCCAAAAGATGCGATTCCACCCATTCCTGCCGGAGCAATGTAACAAATCAGCTTGCTGATTCAACTGGGTTTGGTTGCAAGTAGAGTAGTTGTATAGAAAAGGTTACACGAGCATTACAACATGCTGAATAAGGTTCAAAATTTACAGATTATATGAGTTGTGCTTTGTTTGGAGCGTTGCATTTTGGGTTTGAGGGGGTGGGGTGGGTGTTGGTGGACACGGCACAGACACTGAAGTTGAGCTTTCATTCAAATCAGAATCAGATCCAGCTCACAGCTATGGCTGAAAGTGGATAGGAACATACCCAGTTTCAATGGGAGCACAACCTTAGCACTGTCAGTGGCTCATGGAAGCCCACCCTGATGGGTATTTTTCTTACTGCAGCTACTCTAATGGCCAAAAGGGGAGATTCACTCCTTCCCTTTTTTCCCTTAGTGAATTGTCTTGGGGAGCTCTAAGTTACCTGATTTTAAGTTTAGGTTTCTGCCCACTGAACTGGCCTTCTGCAACATCAACACAAAGGAGCCAGGAACCCAGCATCAGTGACAGGCAAGGGAACAGTGACCACCTCTTACAGAGCTGTCATATTAATTATCTGCAATATGAAGCTGCACTGTTAGGATACACTTATATATGTACTTTAATACAACATAAGGTCACGGTCTCCCCACAGCAGCAGTCCTCTTTTTTCCTTCCAGCAGCCAATGAGCAACAATGCTGATGGAAGAAACTGGCTTGTTCTTGGAGGGAGGTGACTTCTGTTTGACTAAGTCAGAAGTTACGGTTCATTCACTGCTTCAAGAGATCAAAGTCAGCAAGCTCAACCAGTATGTATTTTAAAACTAATCTCTTCTCAAACTTCAAGTATTTGGCAAGTTTCCTTTAACGCTTATGGTCGTCACCTATGGGACCAATGCCATTCTATGATGAATTCTGAGAGTTCACGATCCCAAATTTCCTAACTAACGAGCCACTTACTTGACTTCATTGTCTCTATCCTGCAGTCCCATAAACTCCAATTGACTTACATAAAGCAACAAATCCCAGATAGGAAGTCATGAAAGGAGCAACTGGTGGTCAAATATGACATTAGACTTCTAGTTTCTAATGTTTAGATGGGGGCTGGGGAGGACAGCAAACACCGTAATAGCCTATATATCTCTGCCTCCTCGAAAGGCTGGGAGTATTAGCATTCCACTTTCATGGAAGTGCAATTTGCAGATGCAAGCTTGGGGCAAGAGGCTAGTCTGAAGCAGAGACAGCAATGTCTACACCAAGGGCAATCACACAAGCACTGTAACGCTCATAGGGTGATGTATTCCCCGTAGCTAAAAGGTTATGTCTGCTGAAAGGGCCAACCTGGATTTCCCAGCACTATTTCAAACTCATGTAGGTTAGGGATGCTCTCTAGGCAAAGTTTTGACATCTCTAGATAACCATTAAAATAACTTAAAAGCTTCTGAAACAACTAAACAAAACAAAGCAAACAAATCTGTTTATCAGTAATGAATTATTTTTGGTACTCCACCCCAGTGTTTTCCCAATTATCTCAAGATGCCTTGCTAGCCTTTTTTTTCCTTTTTCCCCTTAATAAATGGTTAAAAGAAGTTTTCTTCTGGTGAAAAGGCTGAGAGCAATTATTTCACTATGGAAGAAATAGCATTCAGTAAAGGGAACTTCATACACTAACCTCCCCCCTTTGTGTGTGAATTCCTGTAGAACACACCAGAATATTAAAAACGAGCAAAACAACAGAAAGCCTACTGTGGTTAATAGGTTCTGACTTCACACACAAAGCACACAGGCTGAAGTCTATTGTTTCTCTGTTAAATAATATTAGCTGGTTGCAATTACAGTACAGTTCAACTATAATTGATTGCAACATGGTCTAACTACAAAAGCCTTCAACTCACTTCAGCGACACAGATCACAACTTCATCACCTAAAGTGAAAAATACTATGTTCAGATACTTACGAATATACAGAATGCATTCATTAAACACCTGTGATGTGGGGGAACAAGGAATGGTTCCTTAAGGCAAGCAACCTTCAGAATATATGCATGTAATTAGTAGCTTTAATATATTATGGAAGAAGGATCTCAGCTGGAAGGACAGATGTATACAGTACACAGTAAGAAAGGAAGAAGAATGACACAGTTCTCTGGGCAAGGAGGACTTTTTTCTTGTTTTCAACATAACGAGAATACTATCCCACTGGGACTATACATGGTAACTATCACAATATTATTTAAGCA